TGCGATGAATGGACTTTCGAGCTATTCGATTCGTTTGGATTGGAATAGTTATACGCAGCGAATGCATATATAGCCACGCGTGCGCAACGTTAATTCCGTATGTAAAATGGCTCTCTCCCTGGCTGGAATTTCGAAAATGCACACGAAGCGAGCGCGCAAACCCCCTCGATTCGTTCGCGATTCCTGAAAATCATTTGATCATCGACAACTTTCTACCACCCTCCTCCCACCACCTCTCGCTCGCTGGCTCTCTCTTGTCCTCTCGTTTACGCGATCCCTCACGACCGAATGTCCAATGAACACGCAAAATTGGATGTTCGTTCCGATATTCTTTAACCCAATTATTCGTTCACGCAGGGACACGCATGCCATAAAAAAAATCAAATCTTGTACTGTTACATGTTTATAAGTAAATAGAATTTGTTTCGCAAATTATATTTTTAGCTGAATATTACATCACATTTAATTTTCTGAAAATTGTAATAATATTTATGATATAATATTAAAACATATATTGATACATATTAATTTTCAAGCTTATTATTTTATTTCTATTTCTTAAGAAGATACTCTTCTATTGTAGTATATAAAAACGTATGTATTGCTGGAATCTCTTGAGTTTGTATTAGTAAAATTACTTATTGGAAATTAATCATTTCGACTTTTTTTATTGTTTTATAACATATACTTAAGCTTATTGATATATTGAAATTGATGTAAGCATTTGTCGTAGACAAAAACCGGTTGTAAGTAAAAAATGCGACAGAATCAATAGATTGCAATCGAAAAAAATTATCACATCACGTACGATCAATCTCATTTTCTCTGAAAGTTACAAGGGGGCGCACGCCCTATCTCCTCCGATGGAGATGACCATGATGGACATCCTTCGAGGCCACGTTCCCTTTAGCGCTCCCTAACTTGAAAGGTTTCTCATCTTATCAGGAAAATTAACCCTAAAGCTTCCGGGAAGAGCAAACATCGCTGACGTTTAAAAGCACGAGGAATTACACGAAATTAAAATGTACACGGTGTGTCGTTGCATCACTTTTCCAACGAATTTGAACCCCGTTTTTTCACGATCCGGCCGATCGGAGATGACTTTCGTCTTGGACGATCATAGGAAATTACGCATGGAGAACGGGAATGAACCCGGCCCGATCGCGATTACGCGAAATAGCACGAGGCGAAGCGAAGCTTTACTCAGGATTTCGAGAAACTTTTCCGTTTTATCGATCGCGCGCCCTTACGGTACCGTAGCCTTCTGCGTATCTTCAACTCTCCGCGAACTCGATTGTAAATTTTCCATCTCGAATATTCGAACTTGAGGTGGACCACCAGATGCACTCTCCGCGAATGACCGGAGTGCGCGTGTGCACCGGAACTCGCGGTTTATCCGCGCTGAAATTTATAATACACACACATACACATAATACACACACACATCGCGTGCCAAAGTCAGCTAAACCAAAATATCTCCCGCGACTTCTCTCATCCTGAATTTCATCTGACAGTAACTAATTCGGTATAATTTATATTGAAAAAGAATTTATCCTCATCGACGAATCTATCTATTAGAATCAACATGTTCAGAGTGAACCGTCTCATTTTATCACATTATATAATTACGCTATAGTCGCCACAGTCCGTTACTTTCTTTTGATGACTATGGTCCCAAGAGAGAGTAATGTCGTTTTACTAATAGCGCTCTTGCAATATCGTAAGGTGAAGTTAGATTGCACCAGCGGGGATAATTTTGCCCTAATGAATGAAGATTGTAGTACAGTGTAATTTATTAGTTTCGCTTTTACTTATTCTTTTTTTTTTTTAAACAGAAGCAGAGATCAGAGCTGGCGTGTCCATTGTTGGGAATAAAGGAAGATCGTACCGAGACTGGACTTCACCGAAATTACATGTCGCTTCCTATTCAGTTTCAATTCTTACTTAATAAAAAGTAGGGAGAGAATCGCATAGATTACTACGCTTAATCGGCGTGGTATCGAAAATTCGCCCCGGCTAAAAACGCGGACGATTTTAGCCGGCGTTGCTCCTGCTCTTCGAGCGGGGTTCGGATTTGGGTTTTGCCGCAGGGGTAGGTGCGCAGAGTGAACGCGGATCGATCCCCCTCGGCGCGAGTGCGAATGGGGGGTTGCGACCGAGTCGCCCTCTCCGTTGCTCGGTATCCTGGCGTGTTCATCCCCGAAAACGGGAGCGTTTAAAGGATGGTGCCACGTTGCCCAACGTGGAACCATCATCGAAATTCGGGCACAATCGGCGAAAAAAATCGCGGTACCGCGAGTATCGGTATCGCAGCGAGGAGCTCATTCGCGACGCCGACCTAGAAATATATTTTTTTGTGGGGAAACAAAAAAGGGAAGATTTAGACGCGGATTAGAAAAATCGACAAATCCGTTTTTTTCGCGGAAAGAAAAAAAATGACGAGTCGCGCTATAATCGGCGCGATACGTCGCGAGTCTCATTATCGGACGCGTTTTATCAGACTTCGTACCGCCGTTATAACTCGAATGTAGGTTAGCGGCGGCGGATCCAAGAGAAGGGATGCCGAGTTTTCTTCGAAAAATCAATAGACATTTCTGCCCCTGGGTTTCACCTTGTCGCGCTAATAACGCCTGCCGTTAACTGCTCGCATTCGAAGATTCGTATCGCGGGCATATTTGTATGGAAAAACCTAATACCTAAGCTCATGAGGAAAATCTTTATGCAGGATTCACTACTGCTCGTAAATTTAATGATCATAAAAGCAAAGTAGATCTTTCTTTTAATGCAACGCGTTTACGAACGTGTTAAGCAGTGTATGAAATTTTCTCTGGATGTTTATATCATTTTTTGCCAATGTATACCATGTATACTATTTGGAAACACCCAACTCCCGTTTCAAATTAAATAAAAAATAAAAATATTCGCATCGTAATTCGCTGACTTGTTACTATCAAAATTATCGAAATTTCTCTCGAATTTATATAAAGGAATAATCGGTTCTAAATTAGCCAAAGAATTTGCAAATGAAGCTCGCCGGGCGGAGTTTCGTAAACATCCCGTGTAGTAGTCCAGGATTAACCGCAGAGCACGTGCATCTCGCAGTAACTTGCTGCGCGATAGATTTCCGACGTAATTGTGGCTTAAGCAACAATAGTGTCGCGTATGCGAATAAATTCGCGCAGCCTTAACGTATGACGCGTACACACGATAATTCGCGGGTGGACTCTCGTCGATCATTGGTCGATCGTTGGTCGCGAATCGAAGTTGGGACGAGGTCGAGCGTGAAGAGATCCCGTTTACCTTCGCAAGTACGTTTCCACCTGGCTCGTACATACCTGAGGAACCTGTACAGTCACGCTCGCACGCGTTTCTAGCGATCGCCGCTGTACCACCAACTTCTTGATATCCGGGTATTCGCGGGATGCATTTATTGATATGGCGCCTAATGTGTCGCAACTAGTATATACCTAAATATATTAGTATTATTCCTTATCCGCGACATTACCTCCAATATCCTTGACGCGCCTAATTTCATCAACGATGAATAAATTCGACAAGTTCACTCGACACAACGACGAATCTATGTAGAAACTAATGAAACTCAATCTTTAGGTTTGTAACTATACGAAAGCCTCCGTAAAATTTATTATATATATATATATATATATATATATATAATATGTTTGCAATATAATATAAAAAAATCGATAAATATTTCTCAACAAAAATTATTTTGTATATACATATATACAATATATATATATATATATATATATATATATATATATACAAATGTTATTATTAATACGCCTATTTCCTTAATTATTGCTATTGCTGGGAATATCTACGAATATTTTTAATTTAAAACTTCGTGCATGAAAGTAGTAATTTTGTATCAAATACCACTAATTTTTTTTCCCAAATATAATTCAATTTTTCATCATTATTTTTATTTTAACATCTTTCCATTTTTATGTATAATTTAATAAGTTTTTAATTTAAAATAAAATAAATCAAAAATTTGCGATCGAAGGGATATCCTACATTCTTCTATTTCTCTTCGCGTCTTTTTTTCCAATTGCTACGACCAACAGACACTATTGACGATATGCTACTATTAATTATATTTCGCTCCCAGATTTTTTACAAACAATGCTATTGTATAGAATTATTAACCATTTTTGGTGAAACTTGTTTCTGCGTAAATAACGATAGACAAGCGTTGCCAATTATCAAGCAGAGATCAAACACAAAACCAATTTTTATGTGTTTCTATCGCCTTCATATTTTATATTAAACTGTTGCTGCTTTCACATTTTTACCACAATTTTAAATATTGTGGTTGATATTCCATTTGCTTCATATTCCCCACGATTACTATATGGAATGACTCTAAATCAAATGATATATCAAATTTTTTGACTATTAAAATTAACAGCAACGTATAAGAAAAATTATTGTCGTAAGTTTGACATTTTCAATATTTCACGTAATTCTTAAATTAAAATTTTATTTTTATTAAAAATTTATTTCTTTTGCCTTTTTGAAATAAGTAACATCTGATTGTTATAAATTTGCACTTTTACAACTTATTTTCTCCAAAACATTCTTTGTTTCCTATTTGTGGATAATATAGCTTTTTGAGGGATTAAACGTTAGTCATATTTCCTCTCGGAAAAACAAATTGAAATTGCGAAAGTAAGTCTAATACAAGATTCTAATCTATTTAATACAGAAATGCTGCTTTGTTATAGTAATTTCGCTAGTCTGCAACGCAATCCTGCTTGAGAAAGGACCGAAAGGACCTCCTCCGGCAGCCCCTACTACCCGCTTTCCACGGTGCTGCGCGAGATGAACGAAGGTCCTATTTCCGGCCGATATTTAAATCCGAGGGGGACCGAATCCGCTCGACCTTAACCGAAGCGTTCGGGTCCGGCTGTCACATTCGTGGCGTACCGAATGCCCGTCTCTCGTGGCGGCGACGGCGGTGCAGCGGCGGCGACGGCGGCGGCGGCGGCGGCGTAAAGCGTTAATGAAAATGGCAACGCGCCGCGACGCCACGCGGCAGCCTCGACGGGGTACGTACGGCCGCAAATTACGCTGCTTTATCAATCTGAAATAACATCGGCGCGGGACAATTAGCGACAACGCGAAAACTTACGGAGGATTTTCACCGACCCAACGCAAGGATCACGTTACGGCATGGCTGACACGTACGTCCGATTCTGTAAACGTTACGACAGATTACACGTTTACAGGGTGATACTATATAGTTTTGCATGTTTTATTATAGATAGACGGATGTATCTGGGAGAGATATCGTAGTCAAGAGAGTACAGAGATTCTACCTTGACAAGTAACGTAAGTTATTATTACATATTATTATTACTATTTACAAAATCTTATTATCTGTCTTTATTGTTTTGCCAAAGCAATTGATGAATTTGTTTGTTACGTATTACAATATTTAGTGGTGTTTGTGTTGTCTCAATATATTAATATTTTAGTATTTTGTTACGGTGTAAAATTTAATTTTTTGTAAAAAGTCTTATAAATCATGCATCGAAGATATAATTTAGAATTTAACAACATTTTAAATTTCCTTTTATGATAGAAGAATTATGACATATATAAGAACATAAAAATAATGAAAAATAAATTTTGAAACAGCAAAAATATATATCTCACATATATTTCTAAAGAATATAAATAGTAATGCATGTATTTATTGCACATGAATTCTCTACATTTATCATAGTTTGTATTAAAAGTGCTTTTATATTGTTTTTCTATTTTATATAAATCTTTATAGATGTATAAAACATATTTTATGTGTTTGATAAACTGTCAAAAATAAGCAGTGTCTGTGTTAGAAAATCATAACGTTGTTCACAAAGTTAAGATACTTTTAGTACTACTTTCCTAATCTTTTCACGTATAGAATAATGTAAAAAGCTTTCATTGTTGTTATCTTTACAGATATTTTCAGTTCGCAAGCAGAGGATAGCGAAAGTATTAATTCGAAGCAAATGATACATATACTCAACAAATTAGAAATACACAGGGAACCTTCAAGATAGTCTAATGAAAAATATTTCTAAAAAAACAGTACATTTATCCTGTTAAGTCTGCTGCAAAACTGTTAATAAAAGAAATTGTGAAAAAAGAAATATATTTTTAGGGGATATTAGTATTATTTTGTTCATGCACATATCCATTCTGACTATCTAAACATATAAATTCCGTCACGTGTTAAGATAAATAATTTAATAGTTATATATTTTTTGTGAGATTATAACTTTAGGATTTATATTTAACTTCTTTAACGTATGTATATGTATTTTATGTACATGTCTTAAAGGCAAGGGAAAACATTTGCTTTCTTAAAAAATTTGTTTTGTGTTAATTCGTATAATTGTTTTAAGATAATTTCTATGTACTTTTGTGCAACATAGTATAAAAATAAATAGAATAGATAATATATGTACTTAATATATTTCGACGTTTTAATTAAATTATCATTTTAGATGGTACCAATTTTGGCTTACGTAATAATTACTCTTCTAATTACGACATTCCACTTTTTTTAATCTATCATGCGCATCACAATAAATAAATAGTAGCATGCAATATATATATATACATACATATATATATATATATATATATATATATATATATATATATATCTCAGTGACAGTAAAGCTGTTGCTCATCCCATTGTGACTAAGTTATAAGTCTATACTTAGCGATATCAACGTCGAAACTGAATGCTAAATCTAGATCTAAAGTTTGTGAAATTTACATTAAGGCTGCCGATCCTTTACTGCAGTCACATTGGATTATGACCTCTTATGATAGTTAATCAAAGTATACAGCCATCTATTAGTCCACGTTCCATAAATCTATCCCATCGAATCGAATATCAGTTGTGACACGTGAAAAAATTAATTTATTTCTATGCACGGCGGGGAAAATATATCCGTATGGTTGTTCTGCATCTCTGACGTCATGATCCAATATAACTGTAGCGAGGGAGCAAAAGTCCTAAATGTAATTTTTTAAATCTCAAATTAAAAAAAACAGACATTATACCGGGATTTTATATCAGGCGTAATTCGATTTTAGCTTTATTTGTTGCATTACTTGTAAATTAATAATAAAATCGATATTGCTCGTTAATGATAAGATAGTTCGACGGATCTCGGGGTCACCGCAAATTTACAGTCGGCCCTGCCTTCAGGTTTGTATTATAGATTGACCGAATTCGCTGGATATCTATTTGTTCCAATATTCACTTTTAACCTAGCTTTCCAAATGCTACTTTTAACACCTGTTCTCCTATTTTACGTCGCCAGGATTGCAAATAATTATCCGCCCTACTGCCACGATTAATATTACAGACTTTTTTATTATCATGGCGCTGCGGTCGCGCGGATGTAACGCCAGTCAACATCGAACAAAGTCGGAAATTTATCGCGGACGGCTCTCTCGGTTAATATACATAACGCCAGCTAATATTCGTCGTGCATTTGTATTTTTGTATAAATTTTACATCCGACCGTGGCCGAACGCGGCCGAAAATATCCGAGATTTTTAGTCTGTTGCATCCATCGCGCGTCGAACGCGCTTCTCTTCTCATCGTCATCCCCCTGTCTCCCTTTGCTCCCGCAACTACATTCTACCTCTCTCTGCGCCCCTCTGCTCATTCGCTCTACCCCTCTCTGTCTCTCCGTTTCTCAGCCCCATCGTATCATCTTCCTTTCCATCTCGCCGCAACTTCGAGCGATGTCGGGAGCGCTCGTGCGACATCGGCCCTGACTTTTGTTGCGCGCTTTGTAGAACGTATAAACGGATGAGGCTTTTTCCGGGACCGGCAACGCGTGCTACCTTGTGCCTCTCGCGCGAAGATGCGCGAACGGAGAGTTAGAGCTAGCCGGACGAGAGCGTGCTTCCAAGTACGCTCTGGTCCGCCAATGATACACGTTCTCTATCGGTCGTAGGATACGATCAATTCCGATCCGAATTATTTCAGTAACGTACGCGTAGTTTCTGCCCGTCGTTGAATCAATTCGACAGTAATAATACGATCGATTTAATGCACAGCAAAAGAGAGAGAGAGAGAGAGAGAGAGAGAGAGAGAGAGAGCCGTGAATTTCTCGTTATAACGTCGAAAGGCATATAATCGAGTCCTCCAGGATCCGGCGGCGCGTCATTCACTCTCGGTCGAGCCGGGTATAGCCCGTCACCGTGGCTGCATCACGGTTATACCCGTAGACTCTCGGCGCTCTCTCGGTCCCCGATGTTAGCGCGATCGATACGGCGACCATCCCCCGTCGTCAGCCCGGCCGATTTTTTTCCGTTCGACCCTCGCGCTTGCGCACGTTGCCGCGGTCTCCCCTTTCCGATTCCGAGCGCGCGGTAGTTGGAGGAGGATACCGCTGCCACCCGGCGAAGCGGGACTGAGCGAGCGCGCGGCAACAACACGAGGCGAGGCGAGGAGAAACGGGATGACACGAGGAGAGGAGAGGAGAGAAAAGAGAGGAGAGGAGAGGAGAAGAGAGGAGAGGAGAAGAGAGGAGAGGAGAAGAGAGAGGAGAGCAGAGAGGAGAGGAGAGGAAAAGAGAGGAGAGGAGAGGCGAATCCAGGCGGGGCACGGGAAGTGGGGAAAGAGGGGAGCGCGCCTTTATTATAGCCGCGCGCTTCTGCCATACCCCCGGCGCTCGAGCCAGAAACTCGGCGCTGCCAGGGATCGCCAATACCAATTTTGGAACGCGCCAACGTCGACCGAAATTCACAAACGAGATCTCGGAATTAGCAGGGAAAATGTGGGACCGCGCGGCTCGATCGATCTCTCGAAAAATATCAGGAGGGCAGCAGGAGCGCGAGATTAAATGTATTTATGTACATTACGTCGGGGAGGGCACAGAAGAGAGAGAGAGTGAGCTCGGGGGGGATGGAGGGGCGAAAAAGGGGAGGCGGAGGAGGGTGACGCATTACGCGCGGACGACGCGAAACGAGCGTGGGCGGGTAATTTAACGAGAGGCGCCGTATTATTTTCGAATGGGACGTAAGGACGCTCCGCAAGAGATACCCGCGCTTCCCTGCTCGCGTCTTGCGCTTTGCAAGCATGAGTCTCGTGGAAAATGAATCTAACGAGTACCTGGTAGACTTTTTGACATTTCTTGCAAGTTATTCGACGAACTGCGCCCTCTCTTACAGAGATCATCCTACGCATTCAGCATCTCTTATGATAGATATGATAAATTCTTTGATTAATTTAAAATACCGAGTTTTAATGTTATATATATATATTTTTATTTATCTCTTAATTTTAATTTTATCTTAATAAATAGATCCGAAACAACTTTTGGATATATATTTGATTTGATATCTGATAAAGCGCGATTTGATAAAGAAGTAGTAAAATAAAACGGATATTCTAAAATTATATATATATATATATATATATATATATATATACACACATACATATATATGCGTTAGTTTTACTTTATCAGTTCGATATTCTCGAAGGCGATTCGGATTGCATTGGTAAAGAGGAAAATTTGATTTACAATGGTTAACATGCGCGGCCCTAAAATGCGCGTTGCATTCAATATTAATCAAAATAAGCCAACTGATTATATTTGCAATGAAAATCTTTGCAAAGTAATTCTACAATCTTAATGAATATTACAATTGACGTGACGATAAGCAAATTCGGAAATATTTTACATGCGTGTGCACGTGCACGTGAAAACAGGAGGATTTTCTTTAGAATACTTATAAGAACTTCCTTCGTTAATTTGGACAAATTGTAACAAAACGAGAAAAACTCAATTCATGATAATTCAAATTTAAAGTTTCAATATAGCATTGTTTTAGTTAAGAAAAACAAAGCGTTTGCTCTTACATTATTTGTTGACAACAATTGCAACGCGTTTGTTAAAATTTATATCAATTATTATTTAATTTAATTATTTCATATCATATTATTTTATTTAATTATTTCATATCAAATTCAATCTCGTTTTTCGTTGTTAAATGTATATCAGATACAAGCATTTTCGTTTTGGTCACTTAGCGCCATATTAACGGCGGCTGATTGGAATTGGAGGGTGAATCAAATTAGACTCGAAGGCTCTCGTTTCTTAAAGAAAATGGTGATCAGTTATGAACGTATCTGCTTCGATACAATTAGAAAAGTTAGTAAAATTAATTTGAGTAAATGAAAGTAACTCATTGTTCGAATTTTTAATTTATAATTCAATTCATCCATTGTAACTATAACGACAAGTACTTCAACTGTCTTTCATTTTGCGTCAACTATCCTTTTTTTAAATATTATTATAAACTATTTCGTGGATAATTAATAAGAGAGATTAATGGAGAGAGAAGTTAATAGGAAGAGAGATCGACATCAAGAAATTAAACGCAACTCATCGTGTGGATTGTTGCTCAGAATTTTTGCCTAAAAAAATGCAAAAACTGCCAGAAATATTAAAAACGAATAGTACAAAAATTTTTAAGATTTTTTACCAGGAGAGATTGAATCAAATAAAAAATTGGTTAAGTGGTGATATCTGGTTCGATATTATATTAATTGATTCTTAGGATTACTATAGTCATCTTCATCTATAATAGAAGAGTCATCTATTATTTGAACGATGCGAAACATGATTATCTTATTAAACAATCTACAAAATATTCAATTCTTTGGCGAACATTTATATTTGTAAAAAAAAGTAGTAATAAAGTTAGAAAAAAGTTCTTCCTTTTCGCATTAATTTCTATATGTTAGTACATTTCTAATTATATTACGATTCTAGTCCGCAAATGTCAGAGTAAAAAAAAACAAGTAAACAAAAGAATAAGATAAAGACCTCTATTCATGATTTTCAAATTATTAATATCAGATTATAATTTCTTCAAAAATCTTCATTTACTTCATTGAACAATGAAATTAAAAGAATTTCGATAAGTAAGCATAAATAATTAATTCTCGAAAGCTTATAAAGTGAATTAACACTAATGAGGAAACTTAAGTTTTCTCATATATCGGTCATAATTACGACAAACAAATAGTCGCGATTGTAACAGCAACAAGGCACATTATCGAAATTATCGCCTAATTATTTACGTAATTCTCGCATCTCATATCATGTACAT